TAGTCACGTGACACACGTGATACCGCGTGATACCCCGGTGGGCGTGTCGCAGTATGCCGCAAAATACCTCACCCATTTTGAATGGCTGCATCTGTATCAACTCTCTTCACAAGAGAAGCACTACACATCACCGGATGTGTTTGGCCTCATTCTGAATCACAGAAAATGTGGTCTATTTTGTGGTGTAAATTGAAGGTTTTACACATTACTGTGTACATTTTACTTTAATTGTGGGTTGAAATGCACTCATTAATAATGTTGAAATATAAAGATAGTGTTGCATCTCCCCTTTAAGTCACAGGAGGGAGAACACATTCAGTGTGTTGATATTCTCAGCTGGAGTGATGATCCCAGTCGGGAAAGTGGCTGAACCAAACTTCAACAGAGAGCAATATGGTTCACCACATTTATATGTGAATGACAATTTTTGCTTAATGTTCTGAAATAAAAATGGAACAAGAACTGGGTAATCTGCATAGAACAGAGAAAGATGTATGCATGGCTGATTTGCATACCATTTATTTCAACGATGTAGGATGGATAAGAGGTGTTCTCAAGGAAACCAGTACCAGTGGAAACCCAATTAGGTACAGGACCATTGTCATTGGGCTTAAGTAAAACATCTCAAGAGCAATTAAAACAAATATGGAAGCCAAACCACTGAAAACACTCAAGGATATTTAGCAAACCACAGCATTTGCTATTGCACCACATAGAGACCATACCCTGGCTGATTAAAACCTGCCAAGTTCCTACCTATTTTGTGCAGCCATCTAGTCACAATCAACTGTCAACTGATATAATATTGCCCAGATCAAATCTGCTCTGTGCCACCCTGTAGATTCTGTTATATTGGAAAACAGAGCAGAACTAATTGCATGTCATAAAGATTTCCGGCTTGGTCCTTAGTTGAACTCCCACTTTAATAAATATCGCTAAATAGAATTTCATGAACAGTTTCACAGCAGTCATGTTGCTTCTGGTAACCCTGATGTGCTTATGATTACAGAGCACAGCAAAAGACTTGTCACAGAAAAAAAACACAATATCTCACAATTCATCATAGGATTGGTACAGTCATTTTCAAGGGAGACATAAGCAGTTTGAAACTCTTGCATTCTGTGTGCATGACAGACCAAGCGGCTTTGATTCTAGAATTGAAATGCAAAATGAATTTTATACATGACTGCTTTTCCTCAGAGCAGTGACATTAGCGACCAACAAAATTAGAACTCCCATTTTTTAGATTCAAACCTGGTCTCAGCAGTGAAAGCCCATGTTGCGCTTTAGGGCATTTCAACATAGCATAGTTTTTAAAGAAAAAGAAACAAAGAAGAAACTTGTATGACTTCAATTTAGAGATGTATTTTTTTCCAAAGATCAGACTCTGCTGCTCGTGAGAGCCGCAGGAATTAAGGCATGTACCTACTTAAGAAAGCTGCAGTGAGAGATAAGAAAAAACAAAGTTCAGTAAGTGGAAACAAAGATAAAAATACAGGGCACAAATCTTTAATGATTTGACAATGTGTAAACTTAAGTTGTACTGTGATGGTCACATAGCAACAGTAACTTCAGGTTCCTCATATATTAATTGCTTTGGTTGACTCAAATGTTTATTTCTTCAGTTTGAATGCCTGACATCTTTGATTACATGCTCGCTCATTTTGTGATGCTAGAATCAGTGCACTGAGTGACAAGAATACAATCCTTGAATATTTCTGATTATCGTGGCAGTCTTTAGCCATTCAAATGCTACTGGGGATGGAATAAAATAAAATCTCAGTCATGTTTCCGATGTATTACTTTCCTCATGAAGGACTCTTCATGTTTAAGAATCCATATTTAAGAGAGTAATATAAGTTAATTTGCCTGTTTACTTTGGTTTTGTAAAAGGTAAAAATAAATGTTAACTGAGGAAAAAGGATGCGGAACTCAAAAGTTTAGTAGAATTCATGACTAGAGCATGTTGACTTCTCCTATCTAAATTGGAGATTTATCTGAACGTAAGTTTTCCATGTACAGAAACAGACAAGTTTTATAAAGGGATCAGTAAATAGATATAGAACCTAATAAAACAGAACCTATAATAGAACCTACTCTAAAAATATGGTGACGCTTAACTAAATCAGACAAAGCTTATTTCTCAGTCCAAACATAAGTATAGTAATTAAAGGCATAGGGTAATCTGTGTTTTTGTTTGGTTATTTTTTTCATTTGGGTATGTGTACTGTACGAACGATCTTAACAGTTTGTCAAAGATTTCAAGCTGGGTGAACTGTGTTATGATCACTATTTTGTAACATGGAAAGATTTTTTGTCTTCATTTATGATATTTATAAGATTAGAACACCTTTGGTAATACCTAATGTTTGTCAATATGTCTTTGTCAATGTTGCTTAAAACTGATATATATATATTTAATATGTTTATAACCTGAAACACATTACAATGTGTTCACAACAAATTAGATTTAGAAATACTAGTTTTAGCAGGCAAATCAGGCATACAGAGCTCTGTTCTCAAGTAAAAAAACAAATAACAGTGGAACACTAATTTTTCTGTTGACTTCTGGGCACACCATATTACATTAACTATTTGTAATTGTAATTGCATTAATGAGGACTAAGCTGTTAAAACCCGTGTTTGCAAGCAGTTTTTGTATCTGTTAGTAAATCGAAAAATAATGTTTTTTTGTTCCTATACAAAAAAACTCCTCTTAATTTCAAGACGTGAGCTGGAATGTTATAGGTTTGCTGGGGAACAACACCTAAAACCAGAAAGACTAATAATTCTGTGGCCTTATTTGTTCCTTAATAGCCATTGATCTGAAGAGTGGATCAGGGTCATTGTACAAAGGAGCATCACAGAATAAAGCTGATGTGACGTTCACTCTCTCAGATGAGGACTTCATGGAGGTGGTTCAGGGGAAACTAAATCCGCAAAAGGTAAAAACTAATCCATTCACATCTAGTCTTCATCAAAGAGTACTGTAGAACACAACTTACAATTAGAATGATAGGAGTTTTGTTTAGGGTTTTCTGAAATGTTATGTTACATAAAACATAATAAAATCCAAAATTAATGTAAATATTAGGTTGAAAGCCACAACACAAGTTGTGTTGGGGAAACAACATTTAAGTAGGCCTTTGTACACGAACATCATGTACAAGTACTTGAAAAAAGTACTTGGTATGTACTTGGCCCATTGGTATGTGTCACTGTATAATTTTTTCTTGCTTTATTGCTGTGTTTATTGAGAGTAATGACCAAACTTGAAAAAAAGATTAAACCCTTTGGTAAATTTAGGTAGTTTAAGAAATAAAGATGAAGAAATAATTCAATATGTATCATCATAAAAAGGAAATCATCATTTTGGAAGGAATGGAATCCAATATTCCATTTTTAATCATTTCGTAGCAAAGGAAAATAGCACATCACCTTGCATTGAATTAAAATTGTAAAGATGGGTCAAATTAAAATACTTAATATTGATATCTTTTCTTGTGTCAGGCGTTTTTTGCTGGAAAGTTGAAGATGAAAGGTAACATTATGCTAAGTCAAAAATTGGAAGCCATCCTGAAGGATTATGCAAAACTGTGAACCCACGTCATGACTACAGGAGTGAAACTGCTGATTGAGGATCTGTCACTGATCTCTATTCTTTTCTAACACATGAGTAACTGTACTGGTTTTCTAATAGGTATTTAGCCCACCCCTTTAAAGCATTACAATCTTAATACTATAGTTTCTAAAAATGTGATAAAAATAATTCCTCTGATGAAAGAAACATTTAGTCAATTATACTGTTAAAATGGTTTCACTAATCTGGAATATGCCCATTATATATTTAACCCCAATTCCATGTGAACAAATTTCTTTTTTCTTTGAATCATTAAGAATAATCATATAAGTGTGTATTAAATATAAATAATAAAGACAGATCTAAATATACAGTAAATGGTCTTCTGCTGAGCTTTATCAAATATTCAGTCTGCCCTGACCTTTTTCATGTATGAACATGTTGCCATCTGAGATCTTAAGAGCAGAGCAAAGGAAATAATAAAAGATGAATCACTACTATATAATGACGATTTTAAAGGTCTTGATGCTCTCCTTTAGTCATCTCATTGACCTCAATAAGTTTGACATACTTGAATAAGAATCTTTTTCAAAGAAGCAACTTTAATCTAGGTTTTTATAATCAGTATTTCCCTTTATGGTATGCCGAGCACCATATAATAAAGGAAATAATTCCTTAAAGCTGGAAGCTCTTAAAGGCTGGAAGGATCAATATGTCCTTGTGACTAACCATTTTCCACAGTCACTTCATCCTGTAGAGGTACCTGTTTCAAATGATAGCCTGGATAAGACACCAACTCATCACATGGCAAATGAACACACATACAGGGACAATTCACCAATTAGCTAACATACAGTAGTTAGAAAGGCACACCCAGAGAAACCACATGTAAGTAATCAAACAAAACACCCATTTGAGTAGCTGTGAGCTGCCTCAAAGCTAGGACACAAGACCTGTGAGGCAGAAAGGCCAACTAGTCATCCTAGTCATATTCCACTTAATATAAGTAAGCTACTATACATGTATGTGTTTTAGTGTTTCTCAATCATCTCCTATACTGTATATCAATGAAATGTGAAGAAAGGAATTGAGTTATGTGCAATGCATTTCATTTATTGTAAGCAGTTCTCAGTCTGAATTCCAAACTTCACAGAATACCACGATTTAATCTTTCTTTTGTAAGTACTTTATGAAATAATTTGTAACTTTCCATTTTCCAAGTGAGTAAGTTGAAATGGCATACTTTGTGGTGTATGGCAAAGACGTGTTGCAGAAAGATTTCTGTTAAGTGGAGTAACACAGTGTTGAGTGGCACGAGGTATGCCACTTGTTACAACAAAACGCTTTCTCGTAATACAGTGGGTCATGAGCTGCTCTGTCATTGTCAGGCTAGTTATTTCACATTTTCACATTAATTTTATTAAGTGAGAAGACAAAAATAGAAGAACTAAAAAATACTTATCATTCCCTTCCATAGTTTTTCGATACTGTATGTCCGATAACAATTTTAAATAGAGAGTTAATGTTTAAATTATAAATTTGTAAGTGAAAGTTTGGTAAAAATAAAGATTTCATTCTCTGCTTACCCAGATTTAATATACCTATGGAGACACAAAAATCTGCAACATGTTTGGGAGAAGTTTCTGTAACCCTTCTGTTTTCTGTATCTAGAGCATTGATGATACACCCATAATACTGTTGAAGTATTTTGAAACTAATTCTAAAGAGCAGGTGTCAAAAAAGTCAACATCCCTGCACTTTAAATAAATGTTTTTCTTACTTCCATGTAGGGGTAAGCTTTTTGATTAAAAAAATGTGCACTTGAATATTCCCAGTCTGAAAAATCTTTAAGACATATTTCCAATTAAATGTTGACAAAAAGTAAAGGTTATACACCTCAAAACATATTTTGGTGTCATTTGGTTGAAAGCATTACTTGGTCCCTCCAAATGTAAGAAATTTATGAAAAAAGACATTAATGAAAATGTGTAATACCTGGTTTCTCTGCTCACATATAAGCTATGTTAGTCTTTTCCCCCAAAAAAAGATTGAACAAATTACCTGTCTGTTTATTGCACGATAAGGGATTTCAAAGCTATACAAGCTCTTTTAAATTACATTGAAAGGCTTTTTAATTATTGAGTTATTCCCTCACAACTCTAGTGACACTTTTAGAGGAATGGTGCTTTCAAAAGAACATGAGGTTGACAAGTTAAGGAAAATCGCTGCTTTTATTTTAATTGTTAGCACAATGTTCTGGTTTAAATAAAGATGTACAAGTATCATCAAAGGACCTGTGTGGTTAAGTGATTTATTTTTTATATCCTAATTTGCATTGACATCACAGATAAATGCTGTAATCAATAATATGAATCAAACTATCTTAGGGTTCAGGTCAGGTCAGGATGTTCTCATCTGTGCTGGAAACTCATGTAATGAATCCTTGGGACATGAAAACAAGACCGTATTAAAACCAGCTTTGATTAAAACACATGCTCACCCCTGTTTTTGTGAATATTTTTTCATTTTCAAAAAACTACAACACATGCTTGCTCCTAATGAATATAACTGCTCTACATTCATAAACTTATATGAATTTTAGACTGTCTTAATATTTATGTAAAGTTAACTGAGCAGCAAATTAACTTTAATAAAATGGACTCTATCTCTACTCATCAAACAAATATGGGCTAAATTCTAGAACACCTTACTCTGACTGGCAGTCCCACTGGTGTGGCTCCATTGTTGTTTTGCTGATCTGCCCTACTTACTGTAGTATGCCCTCACAACAAATAGACTGACCTCTAAGAAGACTTAGCTATCTGTGCAAAACCCCTTCTATATAATTTCAAGAGTGCAGCTGTCGACCCAGCATCACAGTTTGTCTCATCACCATTTTTATTTTTGCTGTGAATTGTGTAACTGTACTAATGTTACAAAAATTATCCTTCCTCTCATTAATGAAAGCAAACTGGGATTGACACCCTGCAGCTGAAGTAATACAGCTGTTGTTTTGCAAGAGTACCAGGTCCAGATGAGCAAATGCCATCAGCAGCCCGAAGCCACTGCTTACCTCTGTAAGGCAGCGAACACCTGAATGGACAAGGAAACTGATGTTGCAACACCTGAGACTGAATGACGAACAGCCTGAATCCCCAGAGCTGAAATAACCCAATAACCCAGCATTCTTATTAGCTGCAGTAAAACAAAGAATTTCTCATCTTAACGTCAATGAAGCCAGTAGGTATGAACAAGAAATATTTAAAAAACTGATGCTGCACTTGTGCGTATGTAAATGCTTTTGCATTATTAATGTGAGCTTTTAGGAATATGAAGTTGTAAGTGCCTCATCACTACTTATTGCAAATCATTCGTTATCCTAGTTAATCAATTGTTACAATCTTGTGTTTGCATAACAAGTGCTCTTATTGTAAATTGTGGGAGGTCAAATTGCCTTTTTGTCTTCTAAAAAGCTTGTTTGTATCTATGCATTGGAAAATGAAAATAAAACTGCCTGAGGCAAAATGAACCCAGTCTCCATGCAGAAAGTGCAGTTGAAGGCAGAGATCAGAAGCCAATTGCCCAGGACATTGAGCAAATTTAATGTTAAAAAAAGGCCTTGAAATTCCATTCCTTTGAGAAGCCATATCAATTCAGGTAAGGCTCATTCTTGCCCTGAAGTATCTTATAGTGGGAACTAAATTAGCTCATTTGATTTGATATTTTGTTTTGAGCCATATTATACTATATACAGTATATGATAACATTGATGAGACTAAAATTGTTGTGGTGTCTGAAAGCTATTTAAACTAGCTTTCGAAGTTATGAAGCTTGATATTCTTTAGTCACTTTTGTTGTATTTTTCCACATTCAGCACTTTTAATTGGTGCTCAATAAAAATTTTACGAGAACTTTGGCTCTCTGTGAAGTCAAATACTGTATAAGCAAAGTGCATGTTTGACTATTTGATTAGTTCAAACTTTGGTTTTGCATTAATCTTACCTTTTCCCCAACATTATATTATAAAAGTATTGTTTATTCATATAGTCATGAGTATTGGTATGTAAATTGCAAAAAGAAAAGAAGTAGAAGTTGAGTCATTACTTAAAAGCAATGGAAGAAGTCAACACAGCCAAACTATTTTCTTTTATTTGCTGTTGTTCAGGATGAAATTACCATCTACTTGTTCCTTATTTATGTATAAAGCATTTTCCTGTTTCATTCAAAGTGGATTTTAACTTATAGCTTTGTGAATATTGTGAACTTCTCTGACATTTGATAAATGGATTATTATTAAAATAGCATACAGTCTGTGTTGAAACACTTCAGAAAGTAATTCTAAATTATGCAACTGTTTTTGCACTCCTTTTACCTTTTTATTATGAAATCACAAAACCATTTAAAATGTGCCATTCTATGTTATGACAAGAAGAGAAATCATTATGAAAAATGATGAGGACGTTCCGACTACTTGAAGTCAGTTTAAGATGGGGCAACCAATGCTAGCCCCAGACTGCTGTTAGTGCAGCCACTGGAGCTTTTGAAAACAGATGGCTGACACAATTAAAAAAATATCTGCATACTTGGAAAGTGACATCTTAAGAAGCACTGGTAATTTACTTCCCAGCAAGTACTTTAAAAGTGAAGGATTTTTCTAAATCCTTTCTAAATTTATAAAAAAGAACAGATGGTAAGTGGATAGTCTCTGTGTCCTAGAAAGTGCATCCAAAGTGTCTAGAGAGGGCATTGTTCCTGAATCATAACAAATATTTTAATCTTTTACAAATCTTTGGTGGGATCTGTACAGTTTGCATGTGTGTCACATTGAGAAATGCACTGAAAAGGGCCAGGGATGCACATATTGTGAAATCCTATCAGTCCTCTAGTGACGTGAATGTCTATGATTCAGGGACTGTGGCATTGTCAGTTGGTTGCCAGTTTGGACCATTGATGTTGAAAGGCTGTTTTGTGTCTGTTCTTTGTGTTATAAAGTTTTAATTTTTGACAGCACAAGCAGAAGAGCTTGCACTGGAGAAGAACCAATTGCATGTCCTGATATCTTTCACAATAAACCACCAGATTTCTATGGTCAGATAATTCTCCAAATCTCCAAATCTGTTGCCATATTAATGCCACCATTTTTGCAACTAGTTAACCCATCCCAGATGCTTCCAGATGTACTGTATGCAAGTTGCTGATCAACATTAGGGAAAACATACCAGATGTCCAACAGCAGAGTGATACTAAAAGGAGCAAGTACCTTGCAGTCGTAAATGCTAACTGTGGTCATACAAGGCATTGACTTCAGATGTGCAGTATACCATGTGTGATGTCAGATGCAGAACTTGAAAACTTGGATTGCTGAGGTTTGTGTACTGGTCTGAAAATGCTTAATTATTTATTTATTTAGTGTTGTTTGTTGCTGAGCAATACAGCATTTCACAATTCTGTAGGTTCTTTTTTTTTGGGGGGGGCACTTAAAAGATGTTTCATTCGAACTGTCATGGATATTTTCAAAACCTTAACAAATGTCCTCTCAGTTAATCTCTTAACTAGATTAAGAGAAATTCTGATTTTTGCACGTATTCAGTACAAACATGGTAATTACAGAGCTTTTTAGTAACTGTTAAATATCCTTGAAGGCACTTGCTTCCCCACAATTTTTTTTCAACTAGACATTCAAAATCTAGTTTTCAGACCAGACTAAGAATCTAAAGATATCACATTATTCATGTCTCTGTTTCAACAGCGCTGGTGTTGTTCATAATAAAATAGCGCTTATTCTCTGGAAATGTTTTCTCTTTTCCATACAATAGCTACAAATGGCTGGCACATATCTGTCAATTTAGAACATTTAGCCATGATGTGCTGTCATTACACCTGAAAACATCAAAGACTTGCTATTTTTACAAAACTAATAACAGAATTCAATTTTGCTTGAAAGCTTAAACTAAATACAACACATTGATATTCAACCTAACTTGATACATCTCTTAGAGAAACCAGGTGAATATTACATATTAAAAAAATGAAAAATAAGAATGTGTCAATACAAAGAACATAACGATTGCAAATGCACGACTCATAAAAGGTTTCACATCTGTTTGTTCTTCAGTTAAAGGAAATGCATAACCAGTGTAATTTGTCAATGTTAAGTTTTTAAAGACGTTTTTTGGCTGTTTAAAATATTGTGCAATAAAAATGTCAGACTTTTTACTGACAGTATTTTAAACGTAAAGGTATCCATGCAGAACCCTTTAAATTGGATTCTTGTAAAGTGTAAAGTGCAATCGCCTTTATAATGAACACAAATAAAAATCTCAATCCATAGCCTTATATTTATGTATAGCAGTGGGGAGGTACTCTGAGGTGGATTAAGACTGTTTTTGACTAGAGCCATTTTTAAACATCTGAGTTATCAAATTATAATGTACACGTTTAAAGCAATATAAATCACTTTTTATAAGTATGACATATCGTGCCCCCTTTTGTCTTGTGGGGGTGTTGCCATCAGGAATTAAATACTATTGCATAGGACTATATTAGAATATACTTTAAAAAAATCCTTGTTTGTACTGTTAAGCTGTTGTTTAGTAAAATAGCATGGTAAAATAGTACTTATATTTATTGCTTTTGGATTATTATTTTTTTCACATTTTCAGTAAAATTGGAGCTCAGAATTAGCTTATTCACAGCTTGGTTTTATAGCCAGCATCCCGAAGATTGTAAACCAAAAGAATATGCTCTTTTGTAATATTTTGGACTACGAAACTATTTTTGTATATGTACTATATATCTTCTCTTTTGTAGCTTCACTACATTTTTATATTATCTAAAAGATCATTTTTTCTAAAGACCGTCATTTAAGATAGTAGTTTATCTGTTATGAGTTATACAGTACATGACTCCAGTGTGGTCTTAGCCTTGTAATGACCTATTGGTTTTCCAGTAAACAGGTTTTATATAGGATTTAAGTTGCATATATTATCAACTCAATGGCAACAGTGCAATTTATGTTAAAAAAGAGGCTTTTAGAAATTCTCTATCCTTGGCCTAAATATATACAACTGAATTTAAAGATTGTTCCTTATTTCATTACATGGTCCAAGACACATTTATATTATGATCTAATCATTAAATGTAACTAATGTCGACATAGAAGTCATTTACAGAGTGTGACTTTCCTGTGGATTTTGATGAATGTATGTAGACACTTTATTAGCTAGGTTAATAATTGGTGACACATAAAACAGCTTATTAGACACAAACTATTTTATCTGGAGGGAATTCAGGAGAAATACCTAGGATTAAATGTAAGGCTACTATTGACTCATTTCAAGCAATATTGCCCTTACAGTGTTTCATTAACAAGCACTGGGTACCCTTGTGTTGCTTGTGGAAGACTGAGGACCCAATTAACCTTTTTTTCCACTGTTTTCAACATGAATCAGACAGGTGTTTCTCATTTGTTGTGCACCATGTCGACTACTGAAT